GGGAGGGGAGACCAATAAAAGTAACATTTCTCAGAACGCTTCCAAGAAGACACGTGCACGTGATGCAGCGATGCACCGATGCAACATAACCTATATAGGTTATACGTAGCATGGATGCAGCTACGGGATGACGTAGCTCGTACGTGTTTAAGATATAGGGGGGGTCGTACGTGGGATTTGGGATACGAACGAAAACAGGGGCTTGAAATCCTTATTGGGATAGAGGGACCATCAGTCAAATTTTATAATTCTCAAAATTTTTTTTAACCGCAACCCATCCTAGGATGAATTGTTAGATTTTGAATTTGGTATACAGGGATCGTATATATTTTCGTCTTGCGTAACTGTGAAAGGGACTTCGAAGCGCCACGTGCTTCTCACCTACGCTCGAGCCGTACGCTAATGATGATCTACGTTGGAAATTATCAAAATTTTTTTTTTTTTCAAACCTCACCCATCTCTTTTTCATTATTCGTCACGGTGCATTTTCTTAAATTTTTTTTTTTTTAGAAAAATTTTTTTTCTCATTAATCAATTGTCCTTTTTTTTGTTGGTTGCAGTGGCTACTGGTCAACCTTGTCGCTGGCGACAATACGACTGTTGGACATTCGACCGAAATTACTGGAGGCTCTACCAGTCTTCAGGCGGAGGCTGCACAGGTAAGGGTATAATGATAATGGTACGCGGCCTCTTCGTACACACGTTCCTCCATGTCAGGTGGACCGAGAGTTTCGATAGGTTTCGTCTGTATTGGATTCCGGAGGGTGGTCGAAGCTTTCGCGTGAAATTACCAAACGTCCCTCCCGCGCATGGTTAATACATTTGTAATTGCGGACACGTATCCTGGCCGCGTTAATCCAAGTGCCAAGCCCGGAGGTCACGCAACAGCAGTTGCACGTCAGCAAGGAGAACCAATCGTCGAGCTGTTCTACCGAAATGCTCGAAAAGAAGAAGAAGAAAGAACAAGAGCGTTAACTTTTTTTATTCCACTTCATTTCCGCAAATAGTTTCTTTCGAGTTTGTTGCGTGACTGCAATTTGTGTTTTTTTTTTTTTTTTTCATACAATTCTCCATCCTCGTTAAAAATTGTCCAATGGCACGAGAGTACACGCCTTACGTATCGCGCGGAGTGGTAAACCATTTTTTTTTTTTTTTCAAAATATTTTCCAAAAATATTTACATCCGTCAGACGCACGAGGCGCTCGGCCGTGACGCTAGTCGGCAAAGGGGTAAACACTTTTATTCGTGCAATTAGTGGGATTTTCAGATGCGCCCCCCCAAAGTCCATTTTGAAAAGTGCCGAATTTTTATTATCCGCGCAGCAGCACAGAAATCACATTCAATTATCCTACGGTGCCAGGTACTCTCTTTACCAAGATGATCCCTTGGGCGGAGGCTGAGCTCTGGACCAACAATTTTCTGAGAGCGATCTGTAGATATCGTGTGTACACAGTGGCCCGATTATACAACAACACTTAACCGACCTATATGCCCTACGCGAAACCTTACATATATCCACAGCATCCCAAACGGTCCATTCGGTACTTGAACTCGGAGAAAAAAAAAAATTAAAATTTTCTCAAACTCCCATCAGCCAAACAAAAACCAACGACGAAACTTCGACCCCTCGCCATATCCCCCCAGTCACGCGTTACACCAGACTTCCTTTTCCGTATACGAAATCTCTCTTTGCAAAGCCACCCGCTACATTCTCGGACGAGAAACGCGAATCCAATAAGAAAACTAGAGTATCCGTGAGCCACGAGGCATTTCATTTCGTCCTATAAGAAACTACCCGTCGTTACGTCTTCGCGAATCACGTGGCAAACAGCATCCCATGCACTTTGCGCGAAGCCAATGAAATTCGATACTTTTTTTTCCCCGACCCGAAAAAAAAGTCAAATTTTTTTTTTTGAAATTTTTCATTAATTTTTTTTCCTCATTCTCCGTCGTCCAGCACGATCCCGAGCATAGCTGCACGTCAGTCTGAAACGACCTGTAGAGATACGATCGCCCCCGACCCTGAATCGCACCTACGCCCCTGGATGCAGGTACGCGTGACAGGCACGTGCAACTTTTTTCTACCTGCTGGAGAAAAAGTAAAATGACGTCCACGTCACGGACACACTTTCCACTCTAATCCAATTTCCTTAAACAATCATGCCTCATCAAAGGACACTTCGTCCTTTACCTTCCCGCTTCAATGCCCTAGCAACGTATTCATTCGCTCCAGTGAAATGCACAGGTAGAAGGTGCCTCGGTACAGTCTACCTCCCGCCCCCCGGCCAGCCGCTCCCCCACTTACGTCTAAGCTTTACTTCTTGTTATACCCGCCAGGCGGACAAGGCAATAACCCGCTCCGGTGAAAAAGCCTGAATACCCAGGGCGAACGAAGTAGACAATTTGCAAGAGGGGAGCCGAGAAATTACTTGCGCGACACAAAACATTAGCCGCAGGCTGGATAGACGCGCATAATACAGACCGTAGAGTAACGCGTCTGGTATATAAATATGTTATCGTGTGATCCTGCCTTTTTACGTATGTCAGGTTGAAAGTACTAAAAGCCAGTTATATTACGTATCCCGGCAAAATGACAGGATGGACGTTATTGGTAATAATAATTTATTGTACCGGGATCGAGATATAGTGATAATGGAGGACAAAAATTTTTTTTTTTAAATATATTGGTTATTGATAATAAAAAAGTCGATCGAGATACACGATATTACATGTATAAGGGGTGTTCGAAAATACGACTGCAATTGAGTCCGTGCATTAAAACGTGGGAGCGTATGAGGGTTTGACGTTCGTTTTACATCCTTTTTGGATTTCGAGGGATTCCAGTGCTGGGAGTTGGTAATTTTTGCATGGGTTAAAAACAAAATTTACATACGGTCGTATGAATGTTTACGGCGAGTTCAAAAGGGAGAAGAAAAAAGTCACTCACAACGGGATCTTCGGCTGGTTCCCAATGGTCCTTGTGTACGGTGTATTGGTCCAGCTCGTCCTTTGGCACTCGCGATATGTTCACACGCGACGACTTGACGATTCGATCTTTGGGTACTACGTGTATTTTGGAATTTCAACTGATTGCTTATTGGGGACTGAATCGACAGGCGGATTTTCGCGCGCGATCGCGACCGACTGCGATTTGGATAGACTCGCGGTTTCGGAAGTTGAGGTAGCGGGTGAGGGGTGCAGGGGGTGTAGGGGGTGATGGTGCTAAATGGGCTGAAGGCCTCAGGGAAAAGTTTATGTAGATGCGAAGAATCGTGAGAAACGTGACAATTAACATAGGACAAGTGCAAATGCCCGGACTAAGCAGTTCAGAGTGCGAAATGCACGTAATTCGGGTCCAACCGGATCTTCAGTTTACGCTTCCAGCCTCCGTCACTGTCCACAGCTCGAACCGTCTTGGCGTATTTCGTACGGAGTTTACTGCGATACCAAAGTGATATCGCGAAGAGGGTATAGCCCAGCGAAAGAAATAGGGAAAATAGGTAGCGCAAAGAGAGACAGAAGTCGCGTTATGAAAAAAAAAGAAGAATTAGAAAATCAAGCGAATATACCTCGGCAGACTGATAAGAAGAAGAATAAAGAAGCGACGGTTGATTGACAACAGCGAAAGATGTAGATGAAGGAAGAAACAAAGGAAGAAGGAAAAGATCGCGATGTCCAAGAGGTCAATATAGGAAATCGGCTCTCGGAAGACTGAAGAGCCTCGATAAGTCCTTCCGCAGGGCACTCGTTACCCCCTCTCGCCCGAGTACCGATAAACAAGCGCTGCCCTCCCGCGACCGATTTGCCAATTATAATTCGTACAGGGATGCACCCTGGAGGACACTGGGTCTCGCGTCACTCACGCACCTTCCGCTTTGCCATAGCACGCGTCTCCCTCGCACCCGCACCAACTGCACAGTACATAATTTCACCTCCGTACATGCCTATGCACGGCAATGATAATTACTACAGCAGGAAATACGCGTGTGACCTGATTTCACGTGTTTCTTGAATTGACCCCCCAGTATACGTGCGCACGTACGTCCCCCGGTACCGCAACCACGAAAACCGGAAACAACAGGATTCGGAGTACTTCCGCTACGCCTAGCCAATTTACTGATTACCTGCATGGATTACATATCGCCACGTATGACGAGCATGAAATACAGGAATCATCGTAACGAGTATCGCGGGCAACGTTAATCGTCGGAGACGAGTTTGATTATAAGCATACGGATTATCAGTCGATTATCGTAGGAGCAAAAGTATGAATAATGAATATACTGTAAATATAAAAATTTTCTTCTATAATAAAAAAAAAAACAACAAAATATATAATACCTCTCAGGTAACATCGAAGACCCCCTGGAAGGTACAGACTGACGATTTGAATGCTCCTTGTACAAAATACAAAATTAAATACCAAAACCGAATCCCTGGGTGAAAAATACCTCAAATCCTTTTCAAAGGATACCCCTATCATGCGCCATTAGCGAAATCGCCTAAGATTCCCGTATTCATTTATATTCCCATTATCCGCGGATAACTGCAGTAATGGTTCGGGAAATGGCCGCTAGGTGGCGCCACTCTACGACACATTGAATACCAACGAATGATTAATGCGATTTAAATCGTGGCGAAGTGTGACGTAACTATGTGATACTTTGGAAATATCCAACCCAAATTACACGAGAAAATTGGCCAATCCGTTAGCGATTATTCGTGATAAAGAGTTATTTTATAATTTTAATACTTTCACGTCTATCTCGGGCCGAGAGCGATGGGTGGGTATAGGACGCGTGGACTGGAGGAACTGGGTATAGATATACTGTACTCGTACTATACCTTCGCAGGCCACGTGGCTTCTAGCAGAGTATCGAAATGTCATTTGGTTCGCGTGGGGAGAATCCGAGCGGAGAATTTCAGTGTCTAGACTCTCGGAATTCCACGCAGGTACCAGGGGCTTACGTATCTATTCGTTATTTATATTGCCTGTGTGAAATATGCGGCTGGAAAACTGCAGCCAGACGGCGGAATTAAATCTTCGTGGAAAAGTTTTTCTCTGCCGGGCGTATCGCGATCTACGCATACGGTCCGATCGAGTTTGGCCAGACTGGAAACTTGGCGAAAGTGTCTCCGGGAAAATCCCATTGTTTGACTTTGGAAGTGAGAGGGCAAAAATTGTAATGCCTGAAAGAGACTGTCCAAAATTTGCGTTACGAACGGGAGATCGGGTGTTGAGGCTTCGAATAAAATTGACATATCGTATATTAGTGTGAATTACGTAATTTTTTTTGTTTAACCTTTTTTTTCGCATCGTCCACTTATTTCTAGCGATCAAACGAAAATTCCCCACCTTCGATCGCGGCCAGGTCTCAAACCAGCCATATAAATTCACCGAAGATCCTGAAAAGCGCGACGAAAGTTCCTGCCAACTTTTATTCCCGCCAACGGGTGCTAATACAGTCGACTCGTGCGACGTTCCCAAACAGCCGGAGACGTTTGATTCGCACGGAACGTAAATGGCCAGCAGACTTCGGTTCGCAACTCCGGAAGCACGAATCCCCGAATAGTTTGGAAAGGACATTAGTAACATCTGTTCGCGCACGCACAAGGACTTTGACGGGGGAGGG